AATGCCAGAAGCCCTCCAGTCCCAAAATCCCACCCCCAAGTATACTGAAAGTTAGGATTATTGACAACAGGTGCTAAGAACAAAGCTTCCGAAGTATGAAATTCAACGACTCACATGTCTCTAACTATAAAATTGTCTTTCATCTTAGTTTGCAAACTAACAAATGGAAGATCTGACATTATTATCTGTGAGACAGAGCTGACTATTTTAACCCTTTTTTCCTTTTTATTTCTTTTTAAAGCGCTTCACAGCTACAGAAAACTGCAGCGATACAGACTGCAATGTCAGGAGGCATCAGTATAGTGTTTCAAAGCTATAATTAAATTCCCCTCCTTTAAGGCAAGTGACTAACACTAGTGTCAGACTTTTGTCACATTGCGAGAACTGGATGTTCATGGAAGAAAACCGACTTCTTTGGTGCAGGAAGCACGCAGCAAAAAAAAAAGGAAAAAAAAGTATGTGTCTGTTTTTTCCTCGCTGATTCAGACCACAGCATGCATGTTTCCCTCCCAGCCCTGGTCCACTGGATTCTCAGCTGGCTTTCGGCGGGTCAGCTGTGAGATGTAAAGACAGAGGGGAGGGGGGAATGCAGTTTGTGGATAGATGGGTATAGATTTACAGTCAAACATTCTGCTGATTCCCCATACAGCGTTGCAGGTCGATGCATCGGCTGTGGCGGTGCTGCCTCCGCCAATAGCTGTATTGATGTCTAGTCTACACTTGACCTGCCTTTTTCTGTACATGACACATGTGCAAGACCTTTGCTGCATAGTTAAATAAAAAGCGTTACGAAGGGATTCAGAAATAGAGCAGCATTTGACCGTTAGTTCTTGAGAAATAAACGGTTCAGATTTTATAAAGACTTCCCTTTCAGCCTCACATAAAATGACAGAACTGTTATTTTAAACATGATTACAGATTATCAGTCAGTGATATCATCCCTTATCTCTTACTCATTAACCCACATCTCAGTTGGATGAAATGATGATTTGGCAGCCTGTTCCTGTTCGTTATAAAATCTAAATAATTAAGAGTCTGACAGGATGTCAGATAACCCTTAAAATTTCTTCCATCTACTTGCTGATCAAACGTTATTCACTCCCAACGCTGGAATCACCTCAAACCCTAAACAGCCATGCCTTATTTTGAATGCTGTCTGCGCACACTGAGCTGAACATGCTGATGTGAAAACAAGCTTAACATGGCTCCTGACCTTTCTGTAATTACCCGTAGAGTATTTCAGTCTCTCAAAACCTCCTGCCTGGGAGAAGAGTGCTTTCTCTCAAAGACGAGTGTGCACATCTGGAGGCAAAGCAAAGCATGTGTTCACTCCCTACCCCTCCCTAAATAAAAAATATAAATATCAGAGGGGGATTTGCATGCCGAGGGCAAAGATCTTATTTTGCTCTTTTGATGAGACGATTTGCCGGAAACTGCTAAATAGAGAGGTTTAGATGCAGCAGCAAGGTTTGTCGTTTCCACCCCTGGTTGCAAAGCCAGGTCATGCGCTCGCGGAAACGTCTTAATCGTTTAAGAAGGCAAGTGAGTCTCAAAACACAGGCCTGAGGGAAGGTCAAGCAGATTTTCCAAAGAAAGGAAAAAAAAACTGCTGGCTTAGCCTGATAAAATTCCAGGATTCTTTGAATACGTCTCTCCCGGGGAAGGATTAAACAGGTACCCAAAGTGTATCAAACTAGCTCAAATTTGACATTAGAAACAGCTTGCTGATAACTACATTTACTCCAGGTGACAAAACAAAAACGTGTCAAACTATGACAAGCACATCCCTTGGCGACACATACCACTGCTGATTGCCAATAATGTCCTTTTAGAAAGATCCACCAGATCTGAGTGGCAGAATGGGAGAGGGAAATTGCAAGCGATCCTGCAGCACAACATCGCTGCTTGATTGAATGCTATTGATTGGCTTCCCTCTACGGCAACTGCACCATGCAAACAACGATTACAAAAAGCATTCAGAATGCAATCTCTATTAAACTATCTATCTGACTGGTTGTATTCCACAAAGCTATATAATTATCTCAAAGGCAGGGCATAATAGCCCCTTCTGAATGTCAATAACAATAACCTTACAGAGCCAAAATAATGGACAGAACTATCAGGACAACAACACCGTATCAAACAAACGCAGAATAATAGCACTACATACATCTCAAATCTAAACCATTAGACTATTAGGTTTCTTGCGCTAAACGCTGGTACAGTAATTACACAACACACACAAACACATAAACCTTTTATTTTCCCAAGCTGCAGTCCATTGTCTGCATACATTTAAGTTATTATCCAACCTCTTGGTCGCAAGCAGCTTCTACGACAATGTACTTACGATGGATTTGGATTGGAAGAGGATATGAGCGCGCCACTGTCATGTTCTTATTGTAAATACATTTGAATATATAGCATAGACTCATGAAAAATGACATAAAAGTATCAAAATCATTGCAGCAGAACCAGATATATGTTTTTTATTCCTTCTTCCATGCACCTGGCACCTACGTTAGCTACAATGCAACTTGTGTCCCTCAGACACAACTAACACTGACTCAAGTGACGTCACTTCAAATGAATCCGATTTATTTCCCCCCCACATATGCCGTAGTTCTCCCCAGAAACTGTAAACTGTTTTCAGCATTCCTCTCTCTGTGACATGCTGGAACCTCTCAGGGTTTCTGGCTCAGTGACTCGCTGTGTGTCCACAGGGGGATTGTAAGGTGCCCTTTGTTAAATCCTCCTTTGGACGGACGAATTTCTCTCGGGGGATCAATATGTGGAACTTAAGTGGATCCTACTGGGATCATTGTAAACTCAAGTCGAGATAGGTTTTAACGAGGGATCAGATGTGTAGTCATGAATGATCTGCTGCTTGTTATTGAGTTTTATGGTCATTTTATTGTATCTTTGTTTGTGTTTTGTGCTGTTTTATGTATTTTCTTGTTCAGTTTTGGGTACAGACCCATGTAGAAAGAAACGAAAGCTATAAAAGCTACACAAACTACCGATACTGTATGTGCCAATCGTTCATGACAAAAACTTGTCCCTACTAAAATAAAGCTTAAATTAATACATGCATTTGCCTTGTCTGCATTGCTTTCCCGGCGCTTATGAATGCAAGTGGCGTATGAGCTCCTCTGCTTCTGCATCACACTAATGCAACTGGACAGTATCTGCATCACATCATGATGCTGAGCCTCCATGCTATCATTCCTTCAGCTCTATTGTTGTCAGCGGTGGAAGTAAAAGAACCAATACAACAGTGTAAAAAATACTCAATACTCAAAATTATACTCGAGTAGAAGTAGAAAATTAGCAGCAAAATGTACTTTAAGTAGCAAAAGTAAAAGGACTGATTATGCGTTATACATTTCAGAATATTGTAACTGGATTATAATTATAGATGCATTAACGTGAGTAATCGCTTTAATGCTAATCTTAATTACTTTATAAACTGCTAGGTAGCTCAGCTTACAGTGATACTTAAAATACGCTGGCATTTTTGGTTTTGGTTGAATATATTTATAATCTGAATCTTCAAATGAACTAGTAACTGAACCTGTAAGACAAATGTAGTGGAATAAAAAGTACAATATTCCCCTCTATAATGTAGAATATCTGCAAAAAAACAAAATCCTTAATAAGTCATCTACTTCTTCTACCTCATTAAAAAAGTTCCAGAATCTCTGAATGTGCAAATTTTGTTCATTTTTAAAGTTTTCTTGCTGGACACAAGATGTCTCCTACTTTACTGTAAAGGCCATTCTCAGTGCAAATAGGCTTTAAAGTAGCATTAAGATGAAATACTCAAGTATGAGTACACTCCACTGATTACTCTTGTGGTTTTAGCTCTTCAGTCTGCAGTATGTCACCTGCTAAAATAACAGTATAAACACCCTGTGTGTGCTCGTTTTAATACTGTGGAATTACACTAACTCACTATAGAGACAGACTGATCTGACAAAAGAGACAGCTGCAGATGAAAAAAAAAAAAACAAGTTTAGTCTGAGACAGGGAAAAAAAAAGACAAAACAAAGGAGACAGACAAGCCAACAGGTAGGCAGACCAGCTGACAGACAACAGCAAAGAAAAAAATGAATAAAAAGAAAAAAGGCAGACAGACAGATAGACAGGCAGGCAGGTGTGTGGGTAGGGAGAGATCATAAGCAGTCAATGGACCATAATGGGAATGCTTTACAGCCATATGTAGGTGGACCTAATGATGTTTTGCTTATTGCAAACACCCGCTGATGCTTTGCTGGAATCTCCTGACTCGCCTAGATTGGTCTCTGATTGCAAGTGTGTGTGTGTGTGTGTGTGTGTGTGTGTGTGTGTGTGTGTGTGTGTGTGTGTGTGTGTTGTATGTTTCCTCAGAGCAGAGAGAGAGAGAGAGAGAGAGAGAGAGAAAGGGGGATATTTAACTTAGCTTCCCATTTTCTGTCCTGCTCTTAATTCCAACTGAGCACTGCAGATGGAGGAGGAGGAGGAGGAGGAGGAGGAGGAGGAGGAGAGGGCTGTGTGTGTGTGTGTGTGAGAGAGAGAGTGAGGGTTGGGGGGGTAACTAATTCAACTCTCCTGTGCAACCCCCCCCACCCCCCACCAGCTGATGTAATACTCTCAAACAATGGAGTGTAATAAAATATCTATAGGAGATGAGAATATGTCCAAACCACTTCTCTCTCCCTTTTCCCCCTCTCACAGTTGTAGATCTCTCTCTTTTATTTTGCAAAAGGATTTTCATATTGGATAAAAAAAAAAAAAAAGGAAAGGAAAAAGAAACGTCACGCACACATGCGCATATAGGGTGCCACGCTGACGCATCGTTTGTTGTATAGTCAACTGTTTTTTTTTTTGTGTTGTTGCTGGACTGAGGCATGCCTGTAGCGGATTATTGTTTTTTACCGCATTCAACAGTGTTTTTCAGAACGAAAAGGGGGGTGGGGGGGTGGGGGGCGAAAGTCAAGGCTGCGGGAGCGCAAGCGGAGCGAGGTGCGCCAAAACTAACGCCGCTCATCCTTTAAGAATGAGAGGAGGAGGAGGGGGGGAGCGAGGTATCACGAACCGAATGTGAAATCTCATCAGTGCTTTCGACGATGCCGACTTGGACACTTTCACCATGGAAGCTTTTAAGAGTGAGAGTCTTACAGTAGGAGCCCGGTTTTGGTGGCACAAACTGAACCTTTTCATTTTTTGCGTCTCTGCGAGGGAACGGTCCACAGCTGTAAAGTGTGATTTTTAAAAAGGGGGGAAAAAAAAAGAGAGAAAAAACTCGCCTCTATATGTGGATTGACCCCCCCCCCTCCCCCCTTCATCCTCTCTTCCTCTCTCTTCTCAGCATTCCCTCAGTCAGTCGACAGATTTTTTTTTGGTGCCATTACAGCTCAGTAGAGGGTGTCAGATTATTCTTAGAGCACCGCGCTAGGATGAACACCGTCTCCGCGTCCCTCCTTTTGTGATTCCCCCTGAATCGCCACGCTAAAGGAGGAAAAAAAAAAAAAGGGGGGTCGAGGAGCAGAAGAAGAGAGGAGGAAGACGACGCGAGGGGCAAGACGACCGAAGGGATGTAAAGAGGGGGATGCGGGTGCTTTGCAGCGGTGGGATCGCCTCTTACAGCTCCAGCGCGGGGTGTGAATTCAGCACCGGGGAGAGAGAGAGAGAGAGAGAGAGACGGAGAGAGAGAGAGACAGAGAGAGAGGGGACAGCTCCCTGCGCCGCAACACGCAGCACGACCGGGAGAGAGAGAGGAAGACCACAAGAAAAAACACACACACACACACAAGGAGGCTCGGATTTGTTCCATTATTTTTCCCCTTGCCAAGGTCAGTGTTTGATTAAGTGAAAAGAAAGAAGAGAGAGAGAGAGAGTGAGAGAGAGAGAGAGATGTATCGGACTCTGCTGCCTGCTGGGGTTCGGTTCTGATCGCGAACACGCGGAGGCTGGGGGAGGATTCGGTCGGCGTGAAAAGAGACGTTTATGTGCTGATTTTTTTCCCACACACACACACACACACAAAAAACTGGAAGTCTTGGACACAAGTGCAGGTTAGATGCAGCATGGATCTGTTATAAAAGACTGCCTTATCTTCTCCCCTAAATGTCTATATCCCCCCCACCACCTCCCTCTCCCTCCCTCCCTCCATCCTTTTTTTTTTTTTTTGTCTTCTTCTTTTTCGCATTGATGTAGACTGAATCCACAGCTCGCATGTCTTGAAGCCCGGGAATGAATTGTCCACGTTGAAAAAAAAATGCTGCTTTGGATCGTCCTGCTGAATGCGGCTCTTTGTGTTGCCAGTGGAAATGTTACAAGGGACGTTTGTAAGGAGCAGATATGCTCTTGCAACGAGATCGAGGGAGATCTGCACATAGACTGCGAAAAAAGGAGCTTCACCACTCTGCAGCATTTGACCGGCCCCAGCTCGCAGTTCTACCACTTGCTGTTGCACGGGAATTCTCTCTCCAGGCTCTTTCCCAACGAGTTCGCCAACTTTTACAACGCTGTGAGCCTGCATCTGGAGAACAATGGCTTGCACGACATTGTGCCGGGCGCCTTTCTGGGACTGCAGCTGGTGAAGCGCCTGCACATCAATAACAATAAGATCAGATCCTTCAGGAAGAGTACGTTTCTGGGCTTAGACGACTTGGAATACCTCCAAGCTGATTTCAATCTATTGAGGGATATTGACCCCGCCGTTTTCAGGGACCTAAATAAACTTGAAGTGTTAATACTTAACGACAACCTCATCAGCGCGCTACCTATAAACGTGTTTCAACATGTGCCCATTACGCATCTCGACCTGCGAGGGAACCGAATCAAAACGTTGCCTTATGAGGGGATCCTGGAACAGATACCGGGCATTGCGGAGGTTTTGTTGGAGGACAACCCTTGGGACTGTAACTGCGACCTGGTTTCTCTTAAGGAATGGCTGGAGAACATACCGCATAACGCGCTCATTGGGAGGGTGATATGCGAGGCTCCCACCAGGCTGCAGGGGAGCGACTTGAACGAGACGTCGGAAGCGGATCTGTGCCCTTCACAGAACGGCGCCGTGGACACCAGCCTGGTCGCCCCTCCCACCCAGGAGGAGATCTCGGAGACCCGCGGTGGTCCCACGCCTTACAAGCCCAGCAGAGACGCCAGCGGGCCCCCAACGCCTGGAGGAGGCGGCGGCGGCGGCGGCGGGGGCCACGGCCACGGGGCCAAGAACCGCTCCAAATCTCGTGAGAACTGGCAGCTGAAGACGAAGCCCACGCCGGTGCTGACAGGTGTGAACGGGGACAGGGAGCAGCAGCAGCTGCACAACATGACCTGCCCCCAGCCGTGCAACTGCAAGCTGGTGGGCTCCAGGCAGGGGCTGGGGGTCAACTGCGAGGGCAAAAAGATCGAGAGCCTATCCAACCTCAAGCCCAAGCCCCTGGCCGCGCACGAGCTGAACATGAGAGACAACAACATACACGCCGTGAAGAAGAACCAGCTGCTGGGCTACTCCAGCCTCAACCTGCTCGACCTGGGCGGGAACAACATCAAGGTGATCGACAACAGCACCTTCCTGAACCAGAGCGAGCTCAGGTGGCTCTACATGGATAAGAACTACCTGGATACGCTGATAGCAGAGATGTTCGTGGGCCTTGTGAATCTGGAATACCTCAGTTTGGAATACAACGACATCCAGCTGATCGTGGCAGGTGCGTTCGGCCCCATGCCCAACCTGAGGGTTCTGTTCCTCAACAACAACCTGCTTAAGTCTTTACCCGTGGATGCTTTCCTTGGGATTTCTTTATCCAAAATTAGCCTGCATAACAATTATTTCCCCTATCTCCCCGTGGCTGGCGTGTTGGACCAGCTCAACTCAATCATACAGATCGATTTGCACGGGAACCCGTGGGATTGCTCGTGCAACATCCTGCCCTTCAAGCAGTGGACGGAGAAGCTCGGGGCCGACGTGATCGTGAGCGACCTCAAGTGCGAGTCCCCAGAAGAGTTCTGGAAGCGCGACTTCCGCTACGTGCGCAACGACCTCATGTGCCGCAAACTGTACGACAAAGTCTCCCCCAACCCCGAGTCCAAAAACAGCACTTTCGCCCAGGACTCGGGGACGCGCTCGAACTCCTATTTGGAGCCGAACAGGGTCTCCATCTCGGTGCTCGTCCCCGGGCTGCTGCTGGTGTTTGTCACGTCCGCTTTCACAGTCGTGGGGATGCTTGTGTTCATTTTGCGGAACCGAAAGAGGTCAAAGCGGAGGGAGGGGAACTCTTCGGCCTCGGAGATCAATTCCTTGCAGACAGTGTGTGACTCGTCTTATTGGCACAGCGGGCCTTATAACGCGGACGGGGGCGCGCACCGGGGCTTCGACTGCAGCACGCACCTCACCACGACAAATGATGCGTAAAAAGGGGGGAGGGGGGAGGGGAGGGGGGGTGAGGGGACGACTCTGCTGTTAGTCTAGTACAATAAGCCGACACCAGACTGGATTACAAACAGTCACGCAGACAGACTGACGCACACAAATGACTGCAAGAATCATCCGCTTCTGGTCCACTCACAGGGGCGAACACAGACTTGTTTATGTCTTGTTTTTCTCCAGAAGTCTGCTACTGCACAGTCCCCCCCCTCTCTCACTCTGTAATATATGTATATGCCAAGCCCCCCCCACCCCCTCCTCCTCCTCTCTCTTATGGCTATAAAGGAAAAAAATAACCTCTCTCCTCCCTCCCTCATCCTCCCTCCTCCTCCTCCTCCTCCCAGTTCTGCTATTTGCCGCAATCGGACTACGGATCTGTGCGAGACAGAAAAAAAGAGGGGGAGAAAAAGGAGGGATGTGTGTGGAGAAGGGGGGGCTTTGGAGTGGTGGAAGTGGAGGAGGAGAGAGGGCGTGTGTGTGAGCGACAGAGAACGAAAGAAAGAGAGTGAGCCAAAAACCGAGGACCCGGGGAATGGTGCACGAACGCATGAATGTAAATGTAAATACTCGGACCCTCCCCGCCCCCCCCCCCCCCCCACCCGATGTATCATAATCTGCATGATGATATTTCGCATGGTTTCAACACACACACACACAAACGCGCGCGACGACGAGGAACCATAACCACCATAACCGACAAAGAAGCAAAACTCGACCCTTTTCATGTTATATATCAATATGACAATATATAGATATTAAGAATTATATATGACTATTACAAAGTGCCATTTCTCTATTTTTTGTGAAACCTGCAGTTAGGATTTGTATTTGTTGTTTTAAAAACTTGTTTGGAGAAAAAAAAAGAGAGAAGGGGGGGAGTGGAAAAAAAAAACATGACCAATAACTGGATGACTATCTGGAGAGGAGTGATGGAAGTGAAGCTGTCGGTGCATGTTCTTTTTTCTGTTTGTTATCATTTGATTGTCGATAAATATTTGGGGTTATTTATACCGTACTAGGTGGCGCAGATGACACCCACGTCTGCGCAGTCATCATCTCCTTTATGAATGTACAACTGTGTTACTTTATGGTGTGCCAATTGTTGACTTTTCAGATATTCAGACATGCAGATGAGCATGACCAATTAACGTCACTCAGATGCTTATGCTGCAAAGTTAATGTAGCTAAAATAACAGTTCTGTGGTTTTGTGTGTCAATGAATATAGCCTGCTTTGGGTGAGAGGAAGAAAAAAAAACAAGAAGAAGAAGAAGAACAACAACAAGAGGAGGAGGAAGTAATTTAAATGGGGGGTTTATACCATCATATTTTTTCAACAACTGAGCAAAGAAGTGTTTTCAATTGAGCTATGTAGGTATAATTCGATCTATGTAAAACAGCGCAGGTAGACTGATGTAGAGTAGAATGCTTTTTTTTAAAATGTCAGAAAAAAGTATTCCTCCACACACACACAAAAAAAGCTTATGGCTATGATTCACTTTCATCATATTGTGAGCTTTTGTAAAGCCATCTAATCTTGTCCAAATAAGAGAACTGAAACTCACTGTATTTACTACAAAATGTGCTTGAAACAGGCTGTTTTTTTTTTTTTTTTGTTTGTTGTTGTTTTGTTGTTTTTTGGGAGGACATCGAGGAAATGGAAGGGGTGTGATTCTTGCTTTCTAACAAACAGGGGAGGGGGGGTGGGCCATGCTATGGAAATAGCTCAGCATGGGAGAAAAGGGACACACACATATACATACATACATGGAGGTTGATTTGACAATGCAAAGATGCCTTTTTTTCCAATTCAGCATTTTGAACTTGGTACTCTTGGTGGGGCTGGGTGGTGGTGGAAGGGGCGGGGGGTCGCATGGTCTTTTTTTTTTGGTGGGCTCATGAAAACAATGCCATGACTGAACACCTGTTTTTGCAGAGCTCAGCTGTCGGGGTCTGCTGCTTCGCCTATTACTGCTTTAAACTGAACGTGGATTTGGATTTTAAAGGGGGGGCGGGGGCATACTTCCACTATTCCAAAATTTCTCGATTCTGTAGCTTCTCTGCAGTGTCTGGTCTGAAACAGATGCAAGGAATGTGCAATTTTGCATTGTTTTTCATTTGATTTTGATTGGGATTCTAATGTAAAATTCCAGTGCTGATGACATTTTCTGACGTTGCCAATGGATTTCTTTTACGAGAGCCGCTCTGAGAGGCCTCATGCAGACAAGGTTTCAGCATAATTTGGCGAAGAGATGCCATGGCCGTGATGAGAGTGTACAGTGTTGATGTGAGACGTGCTTATACACCCCCTAAATCCCCTTCACCCTCCCATCCTCTCCCTTCTTTCCCCACACTAGCAGGCCTGCAGTATCTCCCCCCAGTATTACAGACTAGTGCTGTCCATGGTGCTGAATCACTTCCACCCGCTTTCTCTGTCCGGCTGCCCGCCCCCCTTTCTTTTGCCCTGTGCGTACTTGTGTGTGTGTGTGTGTGTGTGTGTGTGTGTGTGTGTGTGTGTCTGTGTCTGTGTCTGTGTCTGTGTGTGTGTGTGTGTCTGTGTCTGTGTGTGTTTGCGTGTGGACAAATGAGAGAGAGAGTGAGAGAGAGAGCAGTTGCGTGACCACTTGCATGCATGCATAAACTTTCCCCACTGTCATCCCTCCTTTCCCTCCCGCCCCTCCCCTCCCAAATATGTAACCACGCGCAGCTTGACCTTGGGGACTAACATCTCAGCAGATCTGTGACAGACACTCATCATCCTCGTCATCATCACCTCCCTGCGTTTGTTTTCCAGTCAACCTCGCTTCCTCCCCCCTCAACCCCCTGTTCCCCGCTTCTCTGTCCAATCACAACGGGGGAGGGGGGGTTGGGGGGTGGGTGGTTGTTGACTGGGGTAACTATGTGTCTCTTCTGTGGAGTATTATCTGTCCCACAGCCCACTGATGATTTGTCATGATTTTCAAAACGCTGTGTTTCAAAGTTACATTTATATGCTTTGCTGATATTTGACCTGCTTCTATTTTGTTAAATAAAGTGTGGTTGAGGTTGAGTAAAAAACAATGTTTGCTTTTAGGATTTTTATTTTTACTGATCACTGGATTTGACTGAAAGTGTCGGTGTAATGAGACATGTGACAGCTTTGATTCATCATCTCTTCATATTATTGCATTTGCGTACCTTACATCTTGAGTGGTTACATATACTTATTTGAAGTGCACTGCCTTATGTCTGTGTCATTGTATGTGGGAAATTGTTTTAAAAAACTAACAAAAAAATTGATGCCCAACACTACAACATGAATGTGAACGTATTATTTCCTTTTTGGGGTATCTAAACCCTAAAACCCAACATGGCTGATCCAAAATATTTCACAATAATTCTGACTGGTGTATAAGAAATCAGAAATCTCATGAATGTTTATTTCATTATCATCCTGCTATGGGGTTTAATCCTACTGCTGTTATCCATTGTATAAATATGTGAACTCTTATTACATTTAACGGAAAAATTCAAAGACACATGTTGTGCAGCAGTGGTATACTTTCCATTATATTGGATAATAGATCTACCACACATTACATATTCTGTTTGAATCCATTAGAGATTGTTTTCTGTCAGGTGCTCCTGAGCTGTAGTCCTGTGTGACTCAGTGTATAACAGTAGGACCCATTCATTAATGCAATGGATAATAGCTGTTGGAAACACGGCGGAGTGGAGAAGCCTCTTTTGCACGCTGGGCACACAGCACTCCAACACTGTTGTGGCCCAGCAGGCCTGCCGTAGTTCGTGTGACAGTCCCCCCAAGGAGCTGGCAGTTGATGCAACACTTCCAGCAGGGAAAAACATCAACCGTGCACCTCGCACACTCGGCTTTGGTGTAACTCTCAATGGTCCCGCTCTGGTTTAAGTCTGGGCCATTTAATCCTGAGGGTATGGAAAATAGTTTGGTGTATGCGCTCTGTATTTGGAAACTGGTTTCTTTGTTTTTTGTTGTGTTACTTCTCAAGAGAAAAAGCGTACCTGTGGCTGGTTCTGGCTGGTTAGTCATCAGTTTGCGCTCTCATTACAGCTCAAAACACGCACTACTCACATTATTTCTTGTTTCTGTGCTACAGCACATGTGCATTTGTTTTTACCGTGTTGCATTTGATTTTGCTTAAAAAAAGATGACCCTATTCTTCTGAATAGCTTTGATAACTGCCCACAAGCCCGAGCAGGGGACTCAGCGTATTTTGTCATCTTGTCTTGGATTCATGCAGAGTTACAAATGACATCAAGTTGATGGGAAAATCAGTCAAAAAACCAAACTGAGTGGCTAGCTTTCATCTGACTCCCACCGGTCAGATTCAGTATGTCTGCTCTTGTTTTAGGTTTTGTAAAAAATCCCCCAAAGATTCTAAGCTTGGGTATTAGCCTTTGATGTGAGCTTTGATGAAAGTCCCATGTGTTGCACTGCAGAGTTGCCAGTAGCCCTGCACTTCCAAACTCTGCAGCCCCTGCAAACCCTCGCCGCCGGTCTTAGCCCACGGGGGTGTGTAGTAGTGGTTATCTGGCAATGTCCCCACGGATTTCTTGGTGTTACTCCCAGATATTATTATTAGCCCCATCCGCTGCAAAGCACTTAGCCTGTAAGTCTCAGTGGTTGGGTTTTATTAGTTCTTTGTGAGCCACAATAGTTATGGAATACTACCCCATTCTTTAACGCTGTGCTTGGAATCAGTGCCAGTGATTGAGTTTGGTGTTAGCTTGAATGCACTGGAGTGTTTTACACCGGAAGGAAACACGGCGGTGTGACAAGCAAGCATTGGCTTGTTTAATCATTGTGCTTGTTAATACATCTTTCAATATGCAAACATATCCTAAAAAACATGTCTCCAATATAATTACATCGACAAAGAAATCTTTAGAGGGTAAAAATGTGTTTGTGCTGGGTGAGATTTCTGCCTGCAGCCTTGCTCAGCGTACCCTTTCAATACAATCACTGTAAGTCATTTTCAGAGTG